AATCTCACAACCCTAGAGAACAGAATGAACAGAGGGGACATGATCACAACATACAAGATGGCGAGAGGAATAGATAAAGTCAACAAGGATAGCCTCCTCACCTTGGGAAAAAGTTTGACAAAATGACACAGGTGGAAGCTGGAAATGCAACTATGTGCCCCACCACCACTACCACCATCCACCACCACCATCCCCCACTACCACCACTACCATCGCCCACCACCACTATCAATACCCCTTCCCCATCCACCAGTAATCCATCCACCCATTACCATCCGTCAAAGCGAAACACCGAACCCTTAACCCTATTACCAATAACAACTCCTGCATCGTTTCGGGCAAATTTCAGCCATAATTGCCCCTTAACCAAAAATCCCGCTAATTCCCAAGCCCCCCCAAAATAATAATAATAATAATAATAATAATAATAATAATAATAATAATAATAATAATAATAATAATAATAATAATATAGAAAAAGTGTATTTCACTCTTTTCACAAGGCTCTGCCACCGGTTCCAGTTTGAGCAACGAAAACCGGTTTTCATACAAAGGAACTTACATACCCTGATGGTATCCTTCCCCTCCCCCCCCCCCTGGGAGGAGAGATGTTGGCTCCCGGTAGCTGGTCTAGAATGCTCGGAGGCGCTAGGATAGTATGCTGGGTGGTGCTAGGCTGGAATACAACGAAATGCTGGGAGGTGCTAGGCTGGAGTACAACGAAATGCTGGGTGGTGCTAGGCTGGAGTACAACGAAATGCTGGGAAGTGCTAGGTTACAGTACCAAATAATGATGGAATGTCCTAGTGGGAGGGGGGGGTAGAATGCTTGGAAATTCTAGGCTAGGATTAATAGACAGATGGGCTAGCATGCTACGGGGGTGCTAGGGGGTGTTGGACGCTAGTATTGCTTAGCTAGGATACTGGGTGGGAGATAAGATTCCTAGCCAAGGCACCAAGATGAACGCAGAATATATATATATATATATATATATATATATATATATATATATATATATATATATATATATATATATATATATATATATATACATATATATATATGTATATATATACATATATATATATATATATATATATATATATATATATATATATATATATATATATATATATATATATATTAGTTAAATTTCACGGCAGTGATTCAGACTATACTTTGTTATTAAACTGAAAACTGTATCCTGGGTAAAATAAGGAGAATTTTAGGCTGCTAGGCGTAGCTAGGATCACAGGGGCGAGGAGACTCCACAGATTAAAAGGCGGGGAACGCCTGGCTAGGAGTGGCTAGGGGCGGGAGATTAAAAGGGCACTTTACATAAAAGCAGTGTGTCGATATCGGAAAGATGGGTGGCGGAGGGAGAGTGTGGGATAAGGGAAGGAGTGTGAGGTAAGGGGTAAGGGGTAAGGGGTAAGGGGAAGCAGAGGAGGTAAGCTCGAAATGAACAACCGCAGGGAACGGAAGGTTATAGGAGGGGAATGGAATGGAAGGGAAGGGGAAAAAATCAAGATACGAGAGGGAGTTGGGGAAAAAAGAGGAATGTAAGGAAGCGAGGATAGTAGTAGTAGAGATGTTTGGTGAGCTGGAGGCTGAGGGAAGCCTGGAGATAGGAGGACCTGGGATCCGAAGGAAAGGGAGCTGGGATAGGAGGAGGAGGAGGAATTGGGATAAGAGGGGGAAGGGACGGGAATTGTAAGACGAATGGAGGTGAAAGGAGAAAGAAGAGGTGACTATATAGGGTGGGAGAAAGCTGTCTAAACTCTCGACACTGAGCCTTACTTTGAGGTGGACCCACCTGTCACGGTCCTGTCCTCCGGTCCTCTGTCTCTGTCTGTCTCTGTCTGTCTCTCTGTCTCTGTCTCTGTCTCTGTCTCTGTCTCTGTCTCTGGCTGTATCTGTCTGCGTGTGAACACTACTAGGTGGAGGCCACTAGGTTGATTCACACACACACACACACACACACACACACACACACACACACACACACACACACACACACACACACACACACACACACACACACACACACACACACACACACACACACACACACACACACACACTACACACACACACACGAACAGCTGTTGCAAGGTGTCCCTTTAGCTGAGTGGTCTCAATCGGTCTTTTTATATCGGCTCTCTCAGGTTTTATTGGAGCTATGTAAATGTCCACGACATTAAGAGACGCAGAGAGAGAGAGAGAGAGAGAGAGAGAGAGAGAGAGAGAGAGAGAGAGAGAGAGAGAGAGAGAGAGAGAGAGAGAGAGAGAGAGAGAGTGAGAGAGAGAGAGAGAGAGAGAGAGAGAGAGAGAGAGAGAGAGAGAGAGAGAGAGAGAGAGAGAGAGAGAGAGAGTGAGAGTGAGAGAGAGAGAGAGAGAGAGAGAGAGAGAGAGAGAGAGAGAGAGAGAGAGAGAGAGAGAGAGAGAGAGGAACAAGTGGTACTTACACAGTTATTACAAGAAGGGTCGCCATGGAGACCAAGAGACGCCACATCAGTGTTGTCATGTGTTGGAGGTATCCACTACCGACCACATTTCCCCTCTCTCTCTCTCTCCCCTCTTGTGCACTCCTCTCCCCCCCCCTCTCTCTCTCTACACTCCTCTCTCTCTCTCCCCTCACAGCTGTCGTGTTACCCTCTGTTGACAACAGAGCCACTCTTGATACTCCACTCTTCACGTTGACATTTTTTTCCAGTTTTCTTAAAATCTGCTTATTTTTTATTCCGTTTGTCGCTGTTGATAAAGAGTCGTCTGGCTCCGTTTACCGTTAGCGACAACAGTGCCGCTTACCTTCCCACCCCTTACAACGGGCTCCCCCTTCGCCCCTCCATCCCATTTTTAAATCCCCCCATGTCACTGTGGGAGGGATGGGGGGGACAAACGGGTGCAGTCTCTTCTTCCACTACTTCAAATGTAACACACGTAACATCTATCTCCAACACTAACGTTAAACATCTCTAACGTTAGTGGCTAACATCTCCAACACTATCATCTCTAAACACTTATATATCTAACATCTGCAACACGTATCATCTAACATCTCTAAGAGTCATACCTAACACCACCAACACTAACACCCCAACACCTTCAACCACCCGCAATAACACACCACAACCACAGCACCACACAACACAACACACAATACTCATCCACACTTCACATCTCTATCACACACACACACACATACACACACACACACACACACACACACACACACACACACACACACACACACACACACACACACACACACACACACACACACACACACACACACACACAGAAAGTAGTTAACAGATGGAAAGCATTAGGCAGTGATGTGGTGGATTCACACTCCATACACAGTTTCAAAAGTAGATATGACAGAGCCCAATAGGCTCATGAACCTTTACACCAGTTGACTGACAGCTGAGAGGCGGGACCAAAGAGCCAGAGCTCAACCCCCCGCAAGCACATCTAGGTGAATACACACAAGACCCCCCTTTCCCCTTCCCCCGTCCCCCTGCTCGTCCAGCGACAGACATCTTGAAGCAAAACCTGATTTGTTCCTAATTTCAGAGCCGAAGTTGAAGAGTGGCAGTCGCGGACGGAGACCAGAGGATTGGACAAGATTGAAAAGGGTTTGAAGTGTAATTGAAGTAAGATTGAAGTAGATGGCGCTGAGGGAACCAAATGACCGCTTTATTATTTCGTGTCTTGCTGCTGCCATTTGGAGAAGACATTGTTTATATAAGCCATTTAAAGGAATATATATATAAGTCAATTTGGCAGTGATGCTAAGGTGCTTGTCAAACGTACTTACGGCAGACCAATTGGTTTGATCTGGAAGACAAGAACAAAGAGAGAAAAAAAGACTTGTGTGTTGATTTAACACGTCAGGAAGAAGAGAACAGTGACGCTGTTGTTTAAGACAGGGGCGCTGTTGTTTAAGACGGGGGCGCTGTTGTTTAAGACGGGGGGGCTGTTGTTTAAGACGGGGGGGCTGTTGTTTAAGACGGGGGCGCTGTTGTTTAAGACGGGGGCGCTGTTGTTTAAGACAGGGGCGCTGTTGTTTAAGACAGGGGCGCTGTTGTTTAAGACGGGGGCGCTGTTGTTTAAGACAGGGGCGCTGTTGTTTAAGACGGGGGCGCTGTTGTTTAAGACAGGGGCGCTGTTGTTTAAGACGGGGGCGCTGTTGTTTAAGACAGGGGCGCTGTTGTTTAAGACAGGGGCGCTGTTGTTTAAGACAGGGGCGCTGTTGTTTAAGACGGGGGCGCTGTTGTTTAAGACGGGGGCGCTGTTGTTTAAGACGGGGGCGCTGTTGTTTAAGACAGGGGCGCTGTTGTTTAAGACAGGGGCGCTGTTGTTTAAGACAGGGGCGCTGTTGTTTAAGACAGGGGCGCTGTTGTTTAAGACGGGGGCGCTGTTGTTTAAGACGGGGGCGCTGTTGTTTAAGACGGGGGCGCTGTTGTTTAAGACGGGGGCGCTGTTGTTTAAGACAGGGGCGCTGTTGTTTAAGACAGGGGCGCTGTTGTTTAAGACAGGGGCGCTGTTGTTTAAGACAGGGGCGCTGTTGTTTAAGACAGGGGGCGCTGTTGTTTAAGACGGGGGCGCTGTTGTTTAAGGCGGGGGCGCTGTTGTTTAAGACGGGGGCGCTGTTGTTTAAGACAGGGGCGCTGTTGTTTAAGACAGGGGCGCTGTTGTTTAAGGCGGGGGCGCTGTTGTTTAAGACAGGGGCGCTGTTGTTTAAGGCGGGGGCGCTGTTGTTTAAGACGGGGGCGCTGTTGTTTAAGACGGGGGCGCTGTTGTTTAAGACGGGGGCGCTGTTGTTTAAGACAGGGGCGCTGTTGTTTAAGACAGGGGCGCTGTTGTTTAAGACAGGGGCGCTGTTGTTTAAGGCGGGGGCGCTGTTGTTTAAGACGGGGGCGCTGTTGTTTAAGGCGGGGGGGCGCTGTTGTTTAAGACGGGGGCGCTGTTGTTTAAGACAGGGGCGCTGTTGT